ACAACGTGTTGATTCTTGGAGGAGATTTCAACGCTGAGCTCGGCCCCTGCAGGGACCCCGAGGAATCGATGGTGCTGGGGCCCCACGGGGCACCTCGCCGGTCCGACACCGGAACGGAGTTGTTGGAATTCTGTAAGGAGGAAGGACTTTTCGCCTTGAGCACGGCGTACCCACAGAGGGAAGCGTGCACTTGGTGGCACCCTCGTTTCCGTGCGGGCCACCAGCTGGATCACTTCTTTACCCGCTCTCGGGATCGCTGGCATGTCCACAGTTGTCGCACCCTCCACTTCGAACCGGTGCCGGAACAGGGGGTGTCCCGACGTGCTAGGCGGCGCCAGAGGCGCGCTGGTCCCCGAATCAGAGACGACGGACTTATTGCTTGGGCGGCTTACACTGACCACCATCCGGTGGAGATCGGGCTCCGCCTAGGTGGAGCGTGGTGGAAAAAAGGGGCTAAGAGCATCCATCGAGGAACGGCGTGTAGCAATCCGAACTATCCGAGCATGGTCGGCTCCAGCTCCTCCGCGAAGCACCTTCGGGAGCGCTTTGCGGCCAGGCTCACGGAATTGTTGGGGGACGACAGTGACGGCCCACCGACGTGGCGGAAGATATGCGCCGTGACTCAAGAAGCGGGGATGGAGGTGCTCGGTGCCCGGCCGGACCGGCATCAAATTCCGTGGCTCCGCGGCCATGAAACGGAGAAAAAGGCGTTGGACGCCAAAGTGGAAGAGGCGCGCGCCCTGTGGGCCCTGTCAGACGACGCCACGGCCGCCGCCGCACTGCAGGCAAAACGAGAAGCCGCCAAGGCCCGTCGCCGCACGCTCCGGGACTGGGAGCGCACCTACTGGGAAGATATCGGGCGGCGGGCGTCCGAGGCCGCTCACCGCGGGGACCAAGCTTCCTTATACAAGCTGTTCAACGAGCTCCGTTCAGGCAGGCGCAAGCGCCCCCCGGGGCGCGCCAGCGAGGCGGACGTGGACAAGGAACGGGCTTTTTGGCGACGACACTTCGAAAAGATCTCGGGCGATGTCGGCCGCGTGGCCGATCAAGTGTGGGAGTCGGTGTCGCGCTCGCCCATGCCGGCCCTTTGGCTGGACGCTGTGCCCACGGACCTGGAGCTCGATCGTTGCGTAGCCAAAATGAAGACAGGGAAGCAACCCGGGGAGGACGGCTTCGTCGCCGAAGCCCTCCGCTTCGGCGGAGATGCGATTCGGCAGCGAGTGTTCGCTCTAGTGAAACAAATGTGGAAACTGGCAACAGAGGGGGAGGAAGGGGAGGAGGCTGCAGGTTGGCCAGATGAATGGCGCTCGGGGATCGTTGTGCCGCTCTGGAAGAAAAAGGGCAACCGGGCGGACAAAAACACCTGGCGCGGCATCACGCTTCTTTCGGTTGGTTCCAAATTACTAGCGCGAGTCGTAGCATCGAGGGTGTCGCAGTGGTCCGAAGAGTTTGTGTGCGAAGAACAATCGGGCTTTCGCAGAGGGCGCGGGACCGACGACGCTCTGCAGGTTACCCGGAGGCTGATAGAAGAAGCGTCAGCAATGATCCGCGACGATCCAATCGTGTTGTTTTTTCTGGATATAGAGAAGGCATACCCCCGGGTCTGCCGGCCCGCTCTATGGCGCTTGCTCGAGCTTCGCGGCTGTCCGCCGGGAATGCTCCGCGTATGTAAAGCCCTACACGAACACACAGGATACAAGGTGAGGGTTTTGGGGGGCGTGTCCGAGGAGTGGTATCCAAAACGGGGCCTCCGAGAAGGGTGCCCCTCGAGCCCGCCTTTATTCAATGTGTTCCATGACGCTGTGCTCAAAGACTACCGGGGACGTCGCAAGCGAGCGGCAGAGGCAGTTACCCCTGGGGTGCCATGGGAGTATGAGATAGATGGGCATCTGCAGAAAAAGGCCCGCAAGAGAAATCAAGAGATCACTGAAAAAGGGAAATCTAGTTCCCAGCGCACTATGGTGTTGGGTGACGTTGGCTTTGCCGACGACACCATGATTGCGGGCCAGGCTTCTGAGATGCGGACATCGGAACCATTGCTGGTGGCGACGATGGCGGATTGGGAGGAAAGAGTAAACGCCGGGAAAACAGAGCGCCTGGTCATCAGCGGCCACCCCCGGTCCCCATATGACGCGCGCAGACAGTACGAAGTGCCACATCTGAGACATATAGGTGGTATTCATCATGAAGACGGTCGTCAGACAGCGGACACCGCCCGCCGAGTCCACGCCACCAAGGGACTTATTCGGACGATCGCCAGAGGGTGGTCACAGGGCACGGCCCATGGCCGTGGCTGGACGAGCGGGGTTAATATCACCACGCGGCTGGCGGTGGTGCAGCAGTGTGCCATATCATCCCTGCTCTCGGGGTGTCGGTCCCGATCCTGGAGCAAAGCTGACATCATTCGGCTCCAACGAGTCGCCAATTATGGGGTCCGGAGAGCTTTCGGGATGGATGTGTGGGCCATGGAAGAGCACTCGATCACTGACGCTGCACTGTACCGGGCCGCCCGTTGGAGGACGATTGAAGATCAGATTACTCGTCTGGCCATGCAGTGGCTCGGGCACGTAGCCCGTATGCCCGTGCACCGTCTTCCCAAACAAGTCTTATTCGGCTGGATCGCCGGCAGAGGGTGTGATGAACACAACCGTTGTTCGTGGCAGTACCTCTGGCTGAACCGCGGGGTACAGCGCATGCGGATTCACGAACACGATTGGTTTCGAAGGGCCACCAACCGGCAGGCTTGGAGGCGCGCAGTAGACAAGGCTTTCCCTGCCCTCGAGATCACGCCGGAATACAGGGCCCTCGTGAACCGATGGCGCCCTGGAGCCCCGTTGCCCGGCAACGGTCAGGAGGGGGCCTCGGGACCCATTTTGGGCGTTCCACCGGTCCCTCCTCCTCCTCCCCCTCCCCCTCCCCCTGTTCCTCCCCCTCCCCCTCTTCAGGAAGGGGGGGATGGCGCTGCTGCAGCAGGAGGGGCCAATGGAAGGTACGCGTGCCCTGTCCCGGGGTGCGGACAGAGCTTCCGCGCGGGCAACCAGCTTCGCTTTCATTATGATGAGCACCACGCCATCCGGGACCCGAGCTTGGTGACCAGTTGGGCGCATTTTTGCCCCGACTGTAAGCAATACCTGGGTACTCGGCTTCAGTACCACAAACCCCATTGTGCGGCGCGTCTGGAATTCCAGCGGGCCCTGCAGACCACGGAGGGGAGGTGGATGGAGGTGCAGTACGGCCCGCACCGGGCGCCGCCGGATGGCTGGTGGATAGCGACTGATGGCTCCGGGGCTGAGGGAGAAGCTGGTTGGGGCGCAGTCATTTTTAGATATGACGGCCCGAACAGCATGAGCAGGGTACCTGATGTGGTGCTTCACGCACCGGTCGTCACGCAGGCGTGGGACCACCGCTGGATAGGCGCACGCTCGCGTACCAACAACACGGCCGAGTTATCAGCAATAGGTGAGACCATGCACTGGCTTCTAGAAGAAGCGCCAGACGGAGGCGACACCCCTGTGCATATTCGGTACGATTCACAGTACGCCGCGAACATCGCGCGTGGTACTTGGGAGGCCCAGTCCAACGGGGAGCTGGCCGAAGCGGTGCAGGAACTCACGCGGCAGGTATCGGAGAGGAGGCACATTACGTGGGAGCATGTTTACGGACACGCGGGCGAGCACGACAATGAGCTCGCCGACAGGGCCGCGAACCTTGGGCGTGAAGGTCTTGTGTCGAATATGTCTCGGCGCCTTACTGCTCCGCCCCCTCCTGTCCGCGATTTGGAGTGGAACGAGGTAGATATCTGCCGTAAGTGTGGTGTTCGTGTACTCATAAAGGACTTCCAAGGCCATGTGCGTCGGTGCACAGCCACAGGTGGAGTTATTCCCGACGGGTATGACAAGTGTCGTAAGTGTGGAGTCCTCATCAAGAAGTACGATAGCAGCAGCGCCCGCGCCGGCCATGAGCGCCGGTGCCGGGGGAACGAACTCGCCAACCGCACCTGTCGGAAGTGTGGCCACGTGTTCCCGCCAGCGCCGACTGGCACCCTGAGTAAGCAATGCTCCACGCATGAGGCGAAATGCAAAGGCGCCCCCCCCTCGGGAGCGGCGGCGCAGCCGGCGGGAGACGTGGCGGCGCCGGCAGCGGTTGGTCCGCCCCCGGCGGCGGCCAAGGCCCAGGCCAAGGCCAAGCCGAAGGCCCGGGGTCGCGGCGCCGGGGCCAAGGCGAAAGCCCGGGCAAAAGGGCGTGGCCGTGGCCGGGGGCGGTAAGGGGGGATCGGTCCCGGGCCGTCCCCGCCTCTTCATACTGGGCTGCACCGCAGGTAAAATTGTCGCGCTGCCGGGCCGAGGGCCCAAGCTCCGCAGATGGCCTCTACGCAGGACCATCCTGGGGGGGAGCAACCCGTGTTGCGCCCGGCACCGGATCCCTCCGGCTGCCTGCTCCTCCCCAGCCCCCACGCGGCGGGGGAAACCCGCGGTGCACCCGGGAAGAGGGGGTCGGGGAGCGGCCGGGTCCGGTCGCAGGAACACGCACGATTCCCCCCTCACGGGCGGACTCCCTTCCTCCGGCGGCCGGCGGCGGACGGGCGGGCGGCGCGGGCGGACGGACTCCCCTCGACGGCACCACCCATTCCCGGGGCCCTCTTCCTCCCCTCCTCTCCCTCCTCCCTGTCCTCCCCCTTGTTTCCCCCTTCCCCTCCTCCTCCCCCTCCTCCTCCCCTCCCCTGCCCCCCCTTCCTGGCTCCCCCCAGTGGGTTCTGTCGTCCGTGGTGTTGCTGTGCGGGCTGGCGTGTGTCCGAGGTTCGCTCTCGCCCCGCCGATCGATTTGCTGTAGAGTGTGTCTTCGGAGCAGGGCACGCAGCTGGGAAGGGGCGGGGAATGCAGCCTCGCCGCGCGCCGTGTTTGGCTTGTATCAGCACGCGGCCGCCCCCCACCGCGCCCCCCGCCTACGGCCGCGCCGCGGCTGCACGGTGACCACCCGCTCGCTCGCTGACTGCGGCTGCAATGTCGGAGAGGCGCCGCGCCCAGGTTGACCAGGCGATCGCCTCGCTCAACGACCGAGTCGCTGCGGTTGAGTCTACCCAGGCGTCCATGGGGCGCCGCCTGGACGCCGCCCTGAAGTCGACGAGTGTTGTGTGTGAAGGGTTCGAACGGTGCGGAACCGAGTGGGCGGCGAAGGCCCCTGGAGGCCAATGGAGGGAGCTCAAGGCGGCCTGGGGCCAGGCGGTTGCCGGCGACCTGCGTGCCCAGTTGGGCATTGGACCGGACGACGCGGCCGTGCCCGAACCCGCCCTCAACGCCCCTGTTGCCCACGCTGTGGCAGTGGTGGGGGCTGCCCTGTCGATGCCGGGCGTAATAAGCGGACTGTTCGCCCAGACGCGGTGGTCTGAGGCGGATGGCGCCCACGTCCCGGTCCCGAACACGTACAAGATGGTGCTGGAACCGTGCCTGGAGAGCCTGCAGGTCCAGTCTGCACTGAGGGTGTTGGACCACCCGCTCCGGCGGAAGGCCGGCCTGGCAGTCGCAGGCGTGGCGCCTGCGCCGCTGGCGGCCGGGCAGCCTCCGCCGCGCCGTGTACTCATGTACACGGAGCGCACGAGGGCCGAGCGCGCCAAGGGTAAGGGCAAGGGCAAGGGCGACAAGGGGGGCGGGGGCCTCGCCCTTGGCAGGAGCCGCGGCGACGGCAAGGGAAAAAGCAAAGGCAAGGGTAAGGGCAAGGACAAGAAGGGCAAGGCCGCCCTGCGCAGGCCGGCGGCGGCCGAGGGGGCAGCGGAGGCGGCGGCGGCGCCGCCGTGGAGGGCGGCCGACGGCGCGGCAGCCCCCGCGGCGGGGGCCGGCGCTGCACACGGCGCAGGAGCAGGCTCAGGAGCAGGCGCGGCGGCTGGCGCAGACGGCGCGCCGGCGCCCGACCGCATGTAAGCCGACGGAGCGAGCGGGTGGTACCAGTGACACCGATGGCACTGGGGGCAGCCCATGCTAGGGCGCTGTTATTAATGCTAATTGTTCTGGGTTGTCCAATAACTACACGTCGCACGGGCAGGGGGGCCTGCCGCGAAAGCATCTTCCTCCTCCCCTTGGGCGTCGTCGTCGTCGTCGTCTTCGTTGTCGCCGGGGTCGCCGCGGTCATCCCGGCGTCTTCGTTCCGTGCGTCGGCGCCGCCGTCGGCCGAGGGGGTTGGGAGAAGATGCTGGCGCGGCTCGGCACCCCTGATTCGGTCCCCCGGTCGGTCCCTCACTCCCTCCCTCCCGCGGCCTTCCTCTCGCTCCTCCTCATCCCCAAGGTTTGATTCAAAGGTCCCTGCATGTACACCAGCTACGGCCCGGGGGCCGCGCTGGCCGTGAACCCGGAGGACGAGGACGAGGACGAGGCATTGAGACACCTCCGGAGTAAGGCGGTGTGACAACTTAACACTTAAAACGACTCTGTTCTATAATGCAATGAAAGTCTGGGGTCCGAGACTGAGCCGAGCAGAAGCCCAAAGCTGAATGCGAGTAGGACTCGTTCGAGCTGAAGTCGAGCTCGAGCACGAGTCGAAGCTCCAATTCGAGCCGGAGCCTGAGCCATCCAATAAGCTTGCCGAGTGATTTGTTTATGCATATGTGCTATTGTGCGCGTTTGCCTTACGAGGGTCGGTTGCGCCGTACAGAAACGTCGAATTTGGGCGTTTGCCGCGCTATGCGTTTTCTGTGTTGCTGTATCTACTGCGTTATGCATTTTCTGTTGCGGGGTATTGGTCATGCCGTCCAGGAACGCATAGGTTTAGTTTTTTGTTTTGAGGACGGCGTTGTCCTGAATAGTTTCGTTTGTTTGGTAGTGTGGGTAATTACCTCAATCTGTTTTCTTAAACTTGAAGAACAACGATTAGAAAGTAGGTCTGAAAATGTTCAGGAAACCACCGTGTTCAAAATATCAACGCAAACTAGACTGAACATATTTCCGGGGCGGCATGATCCAGACGCCACAACTCAAAGCACCCAACACAAGACAGGCAGGCGAGACACATGACGCACCAAACTCGGCACACACCCAAACACCCATAACAAACATTTAAGTCGACATCGACGTTTCAATACAACACAACAGAAATTTCACAAAACAAAAACGCAACGCAACGCACATAAACGACGACAACACCAAACAAACAATTACTGACACAACTACATAATAACTAAACACAGTACCAAACATGTCACACTACAAAAGAATACACAGCTCATACGCAGGTCCACTTTGACATGTTTTGTTCCTGAATATTAAGAAACATATTTCATGAAACCAGCCCACGCCGCTGAACCACGAGACTTTGCAGGAAACCGTTGTACTCAAAATATTTACGCAAACTACACTAAACATATGCGCTCCTGCACGGCATGACCAAAAGCTGAAACACAAAACGCCCGACGGAAGACACGCACAGAATACTCATACCACGCATGACGCGGCAAAGGCCAAAACAAGTTAGCAACATGAAAACGGAAACTAAACTGGACATTCTACGTTTCTGCACTGCACAACCAAGACCTCGAAATGCAAACGCCAAAACGAATGACGGCCAACGTCCGGAACGCCTGGCTGTTCGAAGAATTCGAATACGTAATTCGCAAAATCAGGGGCTGACGCATGAGGCGCTGGTGTCCCCATTTACGTCGATTATATGCATCATTACCCAGGACATGATAACGCCACCGGCAATAAGAGCAATATCGAATCGGAACCAACAATCCTGAAACGTGCATTACAAAAGCTACTATACGCAATAAGGCCTCAATCGGCAATTCGAACAATAATATCGAGCGCAGCCAACGTGCGACAACCATGTCGTACCCATGCTGACGAGGCTGCAATGCGACTCCGATTACCATACAAATCAAACTGGTGGTCGGAAGTGATTAGAGCGATCAAAGAGCGTTCAAATATGCACTGTGACGAACAATATTGATCTGGCGCCGCGCCAACTGCCACCAATGAGCGTTCTCGGCCCTCAAATCATTGATTCCATTTGTTATTTGCGCTTCTTTTCGGCATTCCGACGGCTCAACACGGCCCAAGAGGCCCCCCAAGATCGCCCACGAGGCCTCCAAAATGGCCCCATGACGGCCCAAGAGGCCCCCGCGACGGCCCCGAGAGGGCCCCAAGTGGTCTCCAAGACGGCCTAGATGGCCTCCAAGACGGCTAACATGGCCCCAAGATGCCTCTCAGACGGCCCAAGATGCACCCAAGACGGCCTGAAATAGCCTTCAAATGGCCCAAGACGGCCCACGAGGCCCCCAAGAGGCATCCAAGACGGCCCTGGAGGCCTGCAAGAGGTCTTCCAGGAGGGCCCGAAGATACCCAAATCATGGCTTCTTTTGGAATGTGCTTCTCTTCGGCATTCCGACGGCTCAAGACGGCCCAAGAGGCCCCCAATATCGCCCCAAGATCGCCCGCGAGGTCTCCAAGATGGACCCATGACGGCCCAAAAGACCCCCAACACGGCGCCAAGAGGGCCCCAGAACGGCCCAAGAAGCCCCCAATAAGTCCCCAAAGCCCTCCAAGAGGCCCCCTGGAAGTTCCCAAAGGCCCCGAGAGTGCCCAAGAGGCGCCCAAGAGGCCTCCTCCTCCTCCTCCTCCTCTTCCTCCTCCTCCCCCTCCTCCTCCTTCTCCTCCTTTCTCCTGATCCTCCCCCTCCTCCTCTTCTTGCTCCTGAACGATCGGCATGGTAAAAATGACGTGTCCCACGATGGTCAAATCCCAGCTCACGCGCTTCACTGACAACTTAGGCTTCCAGCGTCTCAATGATGCGGATCGCCGGCCTGACGATGAAAAAACAACGTCGCTATGAACGCTCGGCCACAACCCAGTGATCCGCCGAGACGTCTACTCGGAATGTGCGTGACACACCGCTCTACTCGGAATGTGCGTCACATACACACATATATACATATATATATATATATATATATATATATATATATATATACATATGTATGCATATTAACATATGTGTACGTGTACCTAACATGTGTACATATAAATACACAGCTCCCTACGGAAAGTCCCGCCACCGTGCCTCGGTTGTGGGAGGCCTCTTCGATGTTCGGTGGGATCCGCGGGAGCTTTGTCTCTCGGGGGCATGCTGGAAGCAATCATGAAGCTTCTCGAGAGCCTCTCGAGGGCACCCTTTTTCGGAACCTCCTCCTGGAACCAACATGGGGGTTCTTGGGCCGTCTTAGGGGCCTCTTGGATTGTCTTGTGGGGCGCTCTTGGGCCGTTTGGGGGCTCTCGATAAGTCAATGGAGACTGGCATGACCGATGTCAACACTTGAATGCGATATTTCCAATTGGTCAAGGGAGGTGCACACATGAAACGCGAAGAACAAATAGATGCCATGGAATGCGGGATGCGTTGATAGTTCAACGGAGACCGGTATGACCGATGTCAACAAGTGAATTCGATATTTCCACGTAGTCAAGGGAGCTGCACACATGAAACGCGAAGAACAAATAGATGCCATGGAATTCGGGAAGCGCGGATAGTTCAACGGAGACCGGAATGACCGATGTCAACAAGTGAATTCGAAATTTCCACCTGGTCCAGGGAGGAACATGAAACAAGAAGACCAAATAGATGTCATGGACTTCGGGAAGCGTTCCCTGAGGCAGCCGCCGCCCTCCTCCTCCTCCTCCTCCTCCTCCTCCTCCTCCTCCTCCTCCTCCTCCTCCTCCTCTCTCCTGCCTCCTCCCTCTCCTCCTCCCTCTCTTTCGTCGTCGTCCTTCTCATCCGCCGTCCTCCTCCTCCTCGCTCCACCCCCGCCTCCTCCTCCTCCTCCACTCCCGCATGGCGGCCTCGGGCCACTTCAGCGCACCCCTCACACGCTTCGCGGCCCCATAGGGAGCTCCACCGAAGACCACAGTGGCAGGGTCCACATGGCGGCCTCGGGCAATGTCGGCACACCCCTCACACGCTTCGCGACCCCATGGGGGAGGCTCCACCGAAGGCCCTTCGTGGCAGGGTCCACATGGCAGCCTCAGGCCACTGCGGCACGCCCCTCACACGCTTCGCGGCCCCATAAAGAGCTCCACCGAGGTCCACAGTGGCAGGGTCCGCAGGGCGGCCTCGAGCCATTTTGGCGCACCCCGCACACGCTTCGCGGCAACATAATTAGGGAGCTCCACCGAAAGCCACAGTGGCAGGGTCCGCATCTCGGTACTCACAGCTGCACATGGTTGGGTCTTGCGCATTATTATCTTCCACTTGCTATGACAATTCATGGCAACTACAGATCATCTCCGTCCGTCATTGAAACTGCATCCCGCTGCTGTTGACCCCGCTCCTTTCTCCTTGACCCTCTCCCTCCTAACCCTCCGCTTCGGCTCCGTCTGGCCCGTTGGCCGCCCGGGCGCGCGCCCGAGGACGGCGGGGGGGGAACGATTAAAAACATAGTTTTCCAGCCCGCGGCCCGTTTTTCTAATCATCATCCCGGGTGCCGCCGCGTGGACACGACCCCTGGTCATTTATTAATCGTCATCCTCCTCTACGCTTCGCACTTGCGACTCCGCTGGCCAGTGCCCCTAATCCCCGTCGCACACGCTAGCTCCCATTGGCTGGTTAGCGCACTCGAGGCCGCCCCCTGGCCGCGACGCAGTGAGACGGCAAAGGGGGGGCAGCGTGGCAGTGTGGGCAGGCGTGCCCGCATGGGCGCGCTCAATTCTCCAGGACCGAATCATCGATGACCCCCTGCGCGGGCAGACCTAACGGCAACCTCATCGCCCGACGCAAGCAGGTCGGGCGGAGGCTGCAGGTCGTCACCGGAAAAGATGGCATCCACTCCGCAGGCAGCGAACACATCACTCGCAGCTCTGCGCCTAACATCACGTCCGTGCCACACCTCGGCCACAGCATGTCCATCAAGCTTCGGCCGCCTCCCATCGGCCGTCCGCCGTCTCCCTCCGACGGAGGCGGCCTCGTGTTACTTCCGCCGCTTTCCGCCGAGGACGAGACGACAACTCCTCGTGTCCTCGAAGGCGAGGCCCCTTCCTGAACCCTCCAAAGGGGGTCGTCTCGGAAAACTGCCGCGCTCTGCACGCGCGGCCCTGCCAGTGGAGGCCGTGCCCGTGCGCTCGTGTGCGGGGGTGGTCCTCGCGGTCGCGTGCCGTGAGCTCGGCGGTGCGCCCCCCGCGTGATGAACTTGACCCTGTGCGGTCGTGGAGGCTGTCTTCGGCGGTCCGCTACTGACTACCTGCCAGACCACCCCAATCCAACCCGAGGACCCGAACTCCGGGTTGGTGGGAGTACGGGTCTCACGTGTGTTTTTTTCAATGTTCCTCGACCCCCCCCACTGGGATTGGAGGTAAATAGGGGCCTTCGAGTTGGGTTGGGGTGGTCTGGCGGGCGGTGAGCGAGCTGCGAGAGCGCCGGGCGCCAGACGTGCCCGGGGGGCCGCGATTCGGCATCGCCCGCAAGGGGGGGCGCCTGGCGGTCCTCCTCCTGAACGAGAACGACGGCCTCTTCTTTCTTCGGCGCCGCCTTGAAGCAGCACAGCGCCTTCTTCTTGAGGTAGTACACGAGCAAGGCGATGATTATGACAACAAGGAGGATCTCAATAAGCCGCCAGCCCTCCCCCAATGGACGCTTTCGTCACTCTCAAGCCAGGAGTGTTCTGCACCGTTAGATGCCAGCGAAGCTGGAAACACATACGGTTGGACTCACATGCCGAAGCTGCGGAATCAGAAAGCTGGATACACATGTGGACGGCTGAAGCACTCATGCAGGCCAAAGTCTCAACATACACACACAGACACACGGCCACATGTGTATCCAACTCTCGCCTGGTCTTGTCGCGGCATGCGTTTCCAAGTGATATGTCAAGCTGGATGCCACCGTCGCGTTCCCTACGACGAAGCTGGGATCCAGCGTTTCTGGTCCGGCTCGACCCTTCCAGAGCGCGCGGGAACGCTCTGAAAGTGTTCCCCAACGCTTTGGAGCGACTTGCCCTGATCCTGGCCCTGCTTGTATCCCTCCGACGTCACGGCCTCACTGTGACGTGGATCCCCAAGGCTCGTGACACCTTCCCTTGGCCCAGCTTCTAGGTTGATTTCTGGCAGTCCGGAGGGAACGGTCTCTGGAGGTGAATACATTGGAGCCCAGTCCACAAGAAACCTGTCGCACGAACCCCAACCCTGAGACCCCAGGACGTCCGTTGCTTTTTGGTGTGGGGACGTCACGCCTTCCATCTCAAAACCATTGAAACCCAAGACACAGGGCACCCTGGAGGCAAGCAGGGTGTTTCTTGGCATTCGGGGATGGACAGAACCCCCTTTAGTAAAACGTGGTTTAGTGAAAACGACCTCGGGCACAAACCTGGCGGGCGCAAGCCTGGAAAATGACGGCCGCGGCGCCCTCTCGAGAACCGAACATGGATAATTCACTGATCGACGTGTCAGAGCGGGGGTTTTGTCCCGACCCGCGTGCTGCGCTGCGGGGATCTGCACTGCCCGGCGTACGGTGGCAGGTGGGTGGAGCCTCCCCCTCCCTCCCGCCGTCCCTCCCTGCAGTCCAAGGGAGCGACACAAGGAAGGATCCACGATCCCCTCCCTTTCAGCCCCCCCCCCCGTCCGCGTCGCTCCCTCCACTCCAACCTCCCAACCTCTCCGTGGCCCCAAACCGCACCCAAGACGGTGGAAGAGCGACCCGACAAGCCGAGTCTTGCTCCCCTGTAAGCGAGCACCAGCACCGCACATCGCGGAGCCGACAGTGGATCAAGGGGCCGGCGGATATGGCGTAAGCCTATACAAGCTCCCAACCTCCGTCCTCTCTACCCCACCTCGCAGCCCGTGCGTCCGGCGTTCTGCAACGTCGGCTCTCCCCGAGAGAAGGGGGGGGCGGAGTGGACAGACCGCCGGGAGGGAGACAACAGGTCCCGAGGAGCAGCTCGGGTCCTGGACAGAACGTGTTTTCCTCGGAGCCAGCTCTTTTCACCCCGGGATTGGTTTGACGGCCCAGGGATCAGGCCGGGCGTGTCCTCCTACAGGGGGATCTTGGGAGGAAAGATCAAATTCATCAAGAAATGACCAGGAAAACAATCCGAATTGGTCGAACAATCCTACCCAGACTATTTTTCACTATGTTTGAATATTCCTCCTGTAGAAGGACACGCCCGACTTCACCCAAGGACCAGGAAAGACCCTGAAGGCGGTGACCGTCCTTAGGACGCCGTCCCCTCAGGGCCCAGTTTCTCGATGTCGAAGACTATGGCAGCGCATTTAGCAGCACCGGCACTTCCCTTCCGCAGAGGCTTGACTCAGACGCGGCAGCAACGTATACGCATGTCCACGCTGAGCCAAGGGAAGCGCTATATTCAGGGTCCTAGAAATGTGAAAAACGTCTGGAAATAATATCAGGCCTCGCTTCTTCTCCTCCTCCTCTTCCTCCTCCTCCATCTCCTCCTCCTCCTCCTCCTCCTCCTCCTCCTCATCCTACTCCTAGCTCTCTTCATTCTCCGGCCCTCCTGCCTCCCACTCTTCCTCATCCTTGCTCATCCTGCTCTCCCCCTGATCTTCCAAAATTTGCGAGATCCTGATCTTTTCAGTACGAGGCCCCCTGAAATCCCGACCCCTTCCCTGGGACCGGATGTTCGTCCCGCATCGGTTCTTGACTGTCCCGGAGCCCAATAAGGGACCCCAAGAGTTCCAAAACGGACGATGACCTCGCATCCCGACTTTTTCACGGCGCGAGCCTGTACGGGGTCCTCTTCTTCCTCCTCCTCCTCCTCCTCCTCCTCGTTCTCCTACTCCTTCTCCTCGTCCTCCTCCTCCTAGTCCTAGTCCTAGTCCTAGTCCTAGTCCTAATCCTCCTCCTCCTCCTCCTCCTCCTCCTCCTCCCCTTGCTGTTGTCGTCGTCGTCGTCGTTGTTGTAGTTGATGGCGACAGGCTGCCTAAACGCCTAGACGCTCTCGGCCGAGGGCCGAGAGAAGTAGTATGACTGCTCAGAAGAAACCGGCATGGAGCAGCCCTAGAGAAGCCCTAGAGAAGCCCTAGCTCCTCCTCCTCTTCCTCTATCCTCTTCCTCCTCCGTCCTAGTCCTTCGGGGACGCATTGACCCCGGCCAATACAAACCCGGGTCAGTCGGGCCTTGCACCTTGCAGGATCTTGCACGATCCTGAATTGATCCTGCAAGATCCTGCAGGATCCTGCACCCATACCCGGGTCAATGCGGGCCGGGCCCTGCAGGATCCTGCAACGAGCATCGTTTAACCGATCTCCATTCCCACCAGCGTGGGGCTGGGCCCCACTGGCCGATTTACCCCGCATGGAGATATAGGCTGCTCTCTTCGGGTTTCGAGGGGCAGATCCCCAACTGAGGTGGTGAGGCGGTGGGGCTCGGATGTGGATGGGGGTGTGGATAGGGATCGGCTAAACGATACTGTGCAAGATCTGGCGCTCTGGCTGGCCCCCGCTTGCATCGTGACCCCCGTCTCTTGAGCCCCGAGCCCTCCTCCCCCCCCCCGCCTCCCACTGCGGGCTGCTCGTCGGCAGGGGCGCGAGCCGGCACCATGAGGATCCAGAGAGCGGCCGGTGATCTGGTGCTGCTGACGAAGAAGCTGCCGGGCCGGGCGCAGGGGGGGGGGGGCCGGGGGCTCGGGACGGGCAGGCAACGACCTGAACTTCGGTGGCGACTCTTGGGAGACTCCCATACCTCTGTCGGCTCTTGCGAATCGACGCTCATCGACGCTAAATCGACGCTAATAGACGCTAGATCGACGCTAATCGACGCTAACCGACGCTAAATCGGCGTTATCTCATCGAATTGCAGGCGCTAGTCGACGCTAAAGACAGAATTGAAAGGGCCTACGAGGCTCCCATGATTTGCACCCGAACTCAACAATGTGTTTCGTTGTTTGTTTTGTCTTCATTGTCCCTCGCTTGTCTTCGATCCGCCCTTGCTGTAAAACGGAACCGAAGCGCAAAAGCGGCCCACGGGATCGCCAGAACAAACACCGCCCATGGCGACCCCTTGACGATCGGAGACGAGCGGGGTCTCACTGCACCGACCTGACAGACGTGCTGCAGCGGATTTCTGCGTGGGTTTCTGTCAATGCTAAGCTCTGGAACGGCGAGCGAAAAACGAAGTGAATTTCGCGTGGATGTTCTGGAACCTTCTTTCCTGGCCCCAAAAAAATCCGCGCGAAATTCACATCGAAATCTGGAACGAGATTCTCCAGGACAGTCCGGGCCCATCCCCTAGGAGGCAACTACTGGGAGGTCTTCGTCGGAAAAATTAAAGAGGATTAAGCCCCATTTGGGAGCTGTTACGCCGGAATGGGCCTCGGACTAAGCAGGATTAAGCGGGATTAAGCGGGACTAAGCCGAATTAAGCGGGATTAAGCCAGATTAAGCCGCATTTCGGACCAAGGCAAAATCAGAATTTGACCTCCCGAGAGTTGCATCCGAACATCCCGCTGCTTTCCGAACGAAATCCGCTCTGCGAAGTTGGCACCATGAAAATAGTCACAGGGGCTGAGGCCCTCTCGCGGGGCCCGGCAGAGCCCCGGCCTTCCGACCGAAGTCCCCCGGGCCGTCTCCGGAGACGCGGGGAGCTCCCCGGGGGCCCTCCCGCCGATCCCGGGGTGCCGCGGGAGGAGCGCGGCGGGCGCGGGCAGGCCGCGCCTCAGAGGCTTAGAGGCGGCAGTCCTTTTCCCCCCTCCTCGTCGTCGTCGTCGTCCTCCTCCTCCTTCCTCTTTGCTTTTCGAAATTGTGTAACATGTTTGTTTTCCTGCCTCACAGTCATGGGGCGCGTCGCTTTTCCGCGCGGGCAAGCCGCGCTGAAAAGAGGAGTTGGGTGAGCCTTCCTGGGAGCCGCTGTGGTACCCCGCGGCCCCATCAAGACCGTGCTCTCGACTGGATTTGTCGTCCAGATTTCGACCCCGCTCCTCTGTACCCGTCATTGCCCCGATGTCGTGCAGATTTCGACCAGATGCCGACGAGATGCCGGGAAGCGTAAAGGTGGAGTAGGAGCAGAGGTGGGAATAGAGGAAAGTCGCTGAAGACGGTCCGTGTAAGAAAGGTATGTTGCCTACGCTCACTTTAGGATAACCCCCCCTCTGCGAGCCCCCGAAGGTGTCGACCAAAGTCGGACGAAATGCCCAAGCCGAAAGGAATTCTGGGACCCTCTGTGCCTCAGATCGGCGGCGTTTCCGTGGGGGGAAGGTGAGAAGGTGAGAGGGGCCGGGCCATTTCCACCCCTCGCTCGCCGCCGATCAGAGGCTCCCATGTAGGACCACACAGCAGGAGTGCCCTCCCTCCGATCACAAAGGCGTCGCGAGAGAGCAACGCGGCGGGAGCTCTTCGGCCCGACCCTGGGGCTTTGGACTGGGGAAGCCGAATGGTACGGATACGGCCAAACTTTTCGCAATGGGGTCGCAACAAAAAGTGCCATCGTTCATCCTCTGGCTCGTGGCGCGTGGCCTCTCACGGACCAACGACGCCAAATGCAACGCATTCTGCCCGCACCCAGCACGATCCATCACGAACGATTGCACAAACTATTGCGTACATGTTTGAGAATCCCTTTGCAAAGGACCCACTGCACGGCCAACCCTGGGCCATAATCCGCCGGCCCCCATGTGGGGCCACCGGGCTGTAGGCTCAGGGCTTGCTGTTCCCTGCACCAGTTCCAGTTTCCAGTTTCCACTGTTACAATATTGATTTGTGATGCTTATTGTTCCTTGTTGTAGACCGCGCGAGGGGGGGAGCCGAAAACCAGCAAACGTAGCGTCTCCCAGGAGGGTGCTCAGAATTTCTGGGAGGGGACGAAATTGACACCCCTCACGCAGATCGGCGGGGTCAGGGTCCAAAAACCCGTAGGATTTGTCAAATGTTTGAAATTCGGCGGCACCCCTCACGTAGATCGGCGGTGCAGGGTCCAACAACTAATGGGATTTGCCACATTTCTGAAATTCGGCGGCACCCCTCACGCAGATCGGCGGGGTCAGGGTCGAAAAACGCATGGGATTTGCCACATTTATAAAATTCGGCGACGCCCCTCATGCAGATAGGCGGCACAGGGTTGAAAAACGAATGGGATTTGCTACATTTCTGAGATGCGGCGGCACCCCTCATGCAGATTGGCGGGGTCAGGGTCGAAAAACGCATGGGATTTGCCACATTTCTGAAATCCGGCGGCACCCCTCACGCAGATCGGCGGTGCAGGGTCCAAAAACGAATGGGATTTGCTACATGTCTGAAATTCGGCGGCACCCCTCACGCAGATCAGCAGGGTCAGGGTCGAAAAACCTATGGGATTTGCCACATGTCCGAAATTCTGCGGGAAACCTCAGTGCAATGCATACGGGGGCAAGTTCAAAATGCAACACTGAGTTCAACAATCTCATCAGAATCTAAATTTCTCTCGCCGATGCTGCTTCACGGCGGCGCCCAGACCTCATGATTTAGCTTTTGCATCTCCCATTATCCGAGACAGGGGGCCGGCGGCAGGGGGCGAAGCCCTTACGGATAATATCCTTCAAGATCAAGAGGCCCTCCGCCTGTAAACAAAAAACCCAAACCATAAGATCGCCGAGGCCACCCTGCCTCAGGATGCACCAGAGCATCCGACAAACACGAAGAACATCAGGGTACCCTCCCCGAACCGACCTCGATCTTTTACCTCGGTCCGACCGTACCGCTGCTCCCCGGACCTCTCCCAGTGTCCGTTCTGACTACGATTTCGATGCGAATGCAGCCGTGGCGGCGAGGGCCTTCCAGGAGGCCCAGCACAGGGGGAAACAAGGGAAGGGTAGCGGTAAGGGTACCCTTTCCTATTCTGGTGGAGTCGCGGCGCGCAGAGGGGGGCAGGGGGAAGGGGAAGGCTTCTTAGATGGAGGCTGCTTTTTGGAGAAGGCGGCGGCCTTCCATCTACAGACGAGGCCCGTGCCTTCTAAGAAGCAGGGGTGCTTCTAAGAAGCCTCCCCCCTCCCCCATACCCCCCTCTGCGCGTGGCTGATGCAAATCTTGTAAAACGAAACCAGGACGAGGATAACATCGGGTGGGGATACCTCGAGAATCGCCGAGAGCTGGCGGCTCCGGGCCGCCGCAGCCTTCTCAGAGCGTGCCCGAACCCTCGGAGAGCGTTCCAGAACGCTCTGGAACAGCTGTACGCAAGGACGGGCGGGGGGGGGGGGCTCGATGCGTCGAGCGCCGATGGGCACGCGCGCCCATGCGCCGGGCGCCGATGGGCACGCGTGCCCCGGCTTCGTGGCACCTCCTCCGCCTCCTCGTCCGCCTCCGCCTCCTCCTCCTCCTCCGCCTCCACCGCCTCCTCCTCCTCCTCCTCCTCCTCCTCCTCCCTGATTTCGTGGCACCTCCTCCTCCGCCTCACGGCTTCTCTGCCGGCTGCGGGTGCCACAGGTCGGAGCGGGGGCACCACGGGCGACAGGCAGGCAGGTCGGGCCCCCCGGGCCTCCAGCGTGAGTTCCCAGGGAAGTAAGCCCCCGGGGCTCTCGACCCCTGCCCGCGGGCCGCCCTTCTCGCGCTGGGCCGTTCTGTGGTGAAAGGTCGGGCATGTCCCCCTACAGGCGGACTTTGAACGAAAATGAAATTAAAAAACACCCCCCCCCCCAAATAGTCCAATAATAGTCCAAACATCGTCCCCAGACTATGTTTTGACTATTTCTGAATATTCCTCCTGTAGAGGGACAGGCCCGACCTGACTGCGGTTGCTCCGGGGCTCGACGAGGGCCCCCCCCTCGAGCCCACAACTCCGGAGGCGCGCGGGAGCGGAGAGGTCACGACCTCGGAGGTCTGGGCAACGGCGCCAAACCAGCTGGCGCACGCGGGGAGGGGCGGGATTCCTGGCGCCGACCCTCGAGGGGGGCGTGTACATGATCCACGGCGCAGAGTCCCAGCAGTCCTGGACGTCCACTTCTGTGCGCAACCTCGGCGGGCGAGGCCCGGGTGAGTGAGCGCCCGCCCGGCAAGAGCGCATGGAAGAGCGAGCGGCGGCGGCTGCGGGCGATGGCAGCGTCGCGCAGGCACGGTCCCTATGCTCTCTCGCGTGCCGATTGGGGGCCCACGAGGAGGGGGGTGCTCAGGCCTCTTCGGGCCAGAGGACCGAGGTCAAGGACACTGGACCACGGGGGCAATCCGGCACCTGCGCCCCTCCTTGGACTCGGCTCGATTCCGAGGAGGGAGGGAGGGAGGGATGGAGTCATGGAGGGAGGAGGGCGGGAGGGAGGGAGGGAGGGAGGGAGGGAGGAGGGAGGGAGGGAGGGAGGGAGGACCGTCGAAGCATGGGCGGCGCGATTCAATTCCAAGCTTTTGCATCACCGAATTCTACATGAAGTATTTTGGCAGGCATGGAGAGAAGAACACCAAAGTATCCAGCGAACGTCAATCACCTCCGGAACACGCGGCGCTTCCGCAGCCGACAGTGATGGTCAGGGACCCGGCAGATTCCATGGCGCAGTCGTCGTGACCTGGGCCTGATGCATGCGACACCTGGGGGGTCCAATGATTGGGAGGATGTTTTCGTGCTGGTTTACGGCTTGGGCTGGAGATCATTCAGGGACCAATTCGGCCATGAGCGGGAGTGGATGGCCAACTTCGGTTTCTTCGCAAATACGGTCTGCACGCAGTGGGGGTTGCCACTGCCACCGTCGAAAAACCGACCAGTGCAAATACCAGACCAACCGAGCAAGCGACGACGACTCCAAGGACAAGTCCTGGACGAACTTCCACAATCACATGCTGAGGACGGACGAGATATGGTTTGTTCTTGGGGGGATGCGCTGATGCAGGTGCTATTTGTGGTAGACTGCCAACCACTACAACGCATTGTCTGTGGCCACGCCCCTTGCCTCAACCCAGGGGCCCTGCATCTAATCGACCGTACGTGCGACAATTTGGCGACTTTGGTGATGTCTGGATGGTTGCCCCCAGAACGGTGGCGGGATCCAGTGGCATGGCGACGACGTAACTACAATGTCATAGCGGACCACCTCGTCAACTACACCATGGACGCCGGGCAAACATGGTCTTTAGAGTTCGATTGGCCACACCCGAGCAGAGCATTCAATGATTGTAACTTGATTGCTCATACAGATGGCGGGGCGCGAGGCAGAGATTGCGCGGTTCCGGCATGGATCATAGAAGTAGTTTTCGGAAATGGCGATTTGCACAAGCTTGCCATGGGAGGCACATTTCTCGAGACCTGGACAGACTCTTTCTCTGCAGAGGCAGCAGCATTAGCGGAATGCACGACAGTAGTGCGTAGACTGGCTGAACGTTTGGCACATGCATGATGAGCACCCACAGCGAAGTGTCCGACTTCAGGCCGAAGGACGAAACGAAACGAAACGAAACGAAAAAGGAGGGAGGGAGGAGGGAGGGAGGAGGGAGGGAGGGAGGGAGGAGGGAGGAGGGAGGGAGGGAGGGAGGCTCGAGGTCTCCGCGCGTGCCTGGCTCTGCCTGGGCCTCCCGAGACCTCCACGGGGGCCTCTGCGGGGGCGAGGGCGGAGGAACAGCGCCAAACGGGGCCCCCGCGTCTTGCACAGCTGCAGCGACGCCCCGTTCTGATGCGGCCGTCGTCATGCTGGCGTGCTCGCGCGTCCTCCTCCTCCCTTCCTCCTCCTCCTCCTCCTCCGTCGTCGTCCTCCTGCCGGTGACGATGGTATGTGAGATTGCCACTGTCGCGGCTGTCAGCCGTCTATACCTTTTTTCCATTGATCATGACATTATGGCCCCCTCTGTCCTCCCAGTCCTCCACGTCATCCTCATCGTCAACATCGTGCTCGTCGTCATGCGGGCCGCGCCCATGGACATTGCAACAGGGGCCGGGTGTGGTGCTCCCTCTGGAGCTGCCCATGCACGCGGCCATGAACTACGCACTCGACCCTCATCGAATGGGGGGAAACTATTAAACATTACCCTGCGACGTACCCAACCCATGTGCATCAAATGGCAAGAGGAGTACGCCAACATTAGCAGGAACAGCGACAGTGTAGACGCGGCGATTTGCTGTGCAAGCTACATGGGATGCGCATGTTTTGCACGATTCACAGGACGACGATCGAAAGAACGAGGATTGAGGCCCCAGGATCGAAGAAGAACGGGCACGGGAACGAGGGGTAGGAGAGGGATGGAATGGAAGGCGGGGGGGGCGAAAGGCCATCGCGGAAGCATCAGCATGCATGGAGAAGGTGAGGCGGGGAATAGGACGACGATGAAAGTGGCGGGAGGAGACAGAAGACTGCCGCGTTTTTCAAGTGCGAGCTAAACCCGCAGCGCTGCCTGCGCCATGTCGTCGCAGAGTTCCACATGATAAACTTGTTTTGAGTGCAAGGAATGAGCGAGGCGTAGCTCGCCCGCTAGCTTCTCCGCCTCCTTCCCGCACATTTCAGCGCGGGAGCTGAACGCTCGCAGGCGCGCCGCCAGGTCTGCGGGCGGCCCGCGGGAAAGAAACTCAAGGCCGGGGTCGCGTATCATCAATCGGTTGTCCATCGTCCAAAGTTGCACTGGCGACGTACTGGTTGAACGCGGAGCGAGCAGCATCACGCGCGTGCCTGAACGCCACGCAGGTACAGTGCACGCGCGATTGGGACTTCAGGTCGATCACGCGCGTCTCCACCAGGCTTGGCAACACCACGCGGACGCAGATCGCAGACCCCCAGGGACGGCGAGGTCTAATCTGAATCTGCGTGGTGCCTCACTCCGCTGGACCCACCAGCAGCTCTCGAAAGTCGAGGTCTAATCTGAATCTGCGTGGTGCCTCACTCCGCTGGACCCACCAGCAGCCCTCGAAAGTGACGACAGTTTCGCAGATCGCAGCCCCCCCAAGGATGGCGAGGTCTAATCTGAATCTGCGTGGTGCCTCACTCCGCTGGGCCCACCAGCAGCCCTCGAAAGTGGTGACAGTTTCGCAGATCGCAAGCCCCCCCCAGGGATGGCGAAGTCTAATCTGAATCTGCGTGGTGCCTCACTCCGCTGGACCCACCAGCAGCCCTCGAAAGTGGCGACAGTTTCACAGATCGCAACCCCAAAGGGATGACGTAAAAGGCAAGAGAGAAGAGGAGGAGCGAAGAGAGGAGGAGAAGGGAAGCAAGAGAGGAGGAACGAAGAGAGGAGAAGGAAGAGAGGAGGAGGAGGCGGGAAGGAAGGAAGGTGGAGACCGCAGTGCTCTATTCAAAACGAGTACCCAACGCAGGAGGGTTGGGAAAAACTTGCTGGGGCGTACGATTAAAAAAGTTGTTTCGCGGGCCTCCTCGCCTCCGCAATAGCGGGGGGGCAGGGCAGGCAGACGGGGGGCTGACAATTCCGGGTTGCCTGGAAGGCCAGGGGGAGGGCACGGGGTGGCGATCCAGGGCGCGGGGGCCAGGGGGGTGGACGGGGTGATTTTTCAGGGCGAGCTCGTCCTCCTCCTTCTCTTCCGCCTCCTCCTCGTCCTTCTCCTCCTCCGCCTCCTCCTCTTCCTCCTCCTCCTCCTCCTCCTCCTCGTCCTCCTCCTCCTTTTCCTCCTCCTCCTCCTCCTCCTCCTCGTCCTTCTCCCCCTCGTCCTCCTCCTCCTTTTTCTCCGTTTCCTCCTCCTCGTCCTCCTCCTGTTCGTCCGCCTCCCCCCCCCCGCAAGGACGCGGGTGATCAAGCGCCTCTTCGAGAACCCCTTCCCTCAACTACTCTCTTATTACCCCGTCCCCTCTCCGCAATCCTCCCCCCGCGGACGCGGGTGATCAAGCGAGCGAAGGAGGACGAATAGAAAATCAGTTCCCCCAAAGGGGCCAAATCAAACGCTGGGAGGCGGACGATTAAAAATTACCCTGCGACGTACCCGACCCACGTGCATCAAATGGCAAGAGGGGTATGCCAACATTAACAGGAACAGCGACAGTGTAGACGCGGCGATTTGCTGCGCAAGCTACATGGGATGCGCATGCGCTGCGCGATTCACAGCACGACGATCGAAAGAACGAGGATTGAGGCCCCAGGATCGAAGAAGAACGGGCACGGGAACGAGGGGTCGGAGAGGGATGGAATGGAGGGCGGGGGGGGGGCGAAAAGGCCATCGCGGAAGCAGCAGCATGCATGGAGAAGGTGAGGCGGGGAATAGGACGACGATGAAAGTGGCGGGAGGAGACAGAAGACTGCCGCGTTTTTCAAGTGCGAGCTAAACCCGCAGCGCTGCCTGCGCCATGTCGTCGCAGAATTCCACATGATAAACTTGTTTAGAGCGCAAGGAACGAGCGAGGCGTACCTCGCCCGCTAGCTTCTCCGCCTCCTTCCCGCACATTTCAGCGCGGGAGCTGAACGCTCGCAAGCGCGCCGCCATGTCTGCGGGCGGCCCGCGGGAAAGAAACTCAAGGCCGGGGTCGCGTATCATCAATCGGTTGTCCATCGTCCAAAGTTGCACTGGCGACGTACTGGTTGAACGCGGAGCGAGCAGCATCACGCGCGTGCCTGAACGCCACGCAGGTACAGTGCACGCGCGATTGGGACTTCAGGTCGATCACGCGCGTCTCCACCAGGCTTGGCAACACCACGCGGACGCAGATCGCAGACCCCCAGGGATGGCGAGGTCTAATATGAATCTGCGTGGTGCTTCACTCCGCTGGACCCACCAGCAGCCCTCGAATGTGGCGACAGTTTCGCAGATCGCAGCCCCCCAGGGATGGCGAGGTCTAATCTGAATCTGCGTGGTGCCTCACCCCGCTGGACCCACCAGCAGCCCTCGAATGTGGCGACAGTTTCGCAACCAGCAGCCCTCGAATGTGGCGTCAGTGTCGCAGATCGCAGCCCCCCAGGGATGGCGAGGTCTAATCTGAATCTGCGTGGTGCCTCACTCCGCTGGACCCACCCTCAGCCCTCGAGTGTGGCGACAGTTTCGCAGATCGCAGCCCCCCAGGGCGAGGTCTAATCTGAATCTGCGTGGTGCCTCACTCCGCTGGAC